GAATATTTATGATGGATATGTACATAGGATTGTGCTTCAGTCACTCATGGAATGAGTGAAAATATTGGCATAATTGTTTCATTATTCCTTAAGTGTGGGATAAAATAAGAGACAAATACTCTGTCTCTTTTGGCTTTGTTGTTACCTTATAGTGCAGAATTTCTCAACCTTGGCAACTTTAAGATGTTTGAACTTCAAATCACAGAATTCCCCAACCAGCCATATTGACTGGGGAATTCTGGGAGTTGAAGTTCACACATCTTAAAAGTTGTCAAAATTGAGAAACACTGTTACAGATCTTGGATTTGCCAGAATCAAGTCACTACTCCAATGTAGGTGCTTAAGGGCAACGTCTGAAGCTGGATTGCAAGAGGTTGTATTTACCCTTCCAGGAAGACAGAAGTGGTTTATTCAATCTTTCTTAGATGTTCCATGTAACTGATGGTTTTAGCATGAATCACAACTTGCATAAATCCAAAACAAAACAGTAAATTCATGAAATATTTTCTATAATAAAACATTATTTTTATCTTTCTGTAAAAGCCAAAAGCCAAATGAGTAATAGCTGCAAAATATATGAGTTCAAAAGTTAATAGACTTTTAATTCTCCTCATAGTAATTAACATTGCCAGTAGATTAGCAAAGCAATTTAATTTGACACACTATTTTGAGATACTGGGGTTATTTTTTCAGCATTTATATACCAATCTCCAAAAGCTCCCTTAGTGGCTTGCAAAGATTAATAAGAAGACATTTGCTATTCTCGGCCTTACAATTACTCTTTTCCTCTGATATTTTGTTGTAGTGTATACATGAAATAGGAGTTTAATTTAGTCTGGTTGGCTTTGAAGCTTCAGTTCTTTTCCCTGGATGACTATTAGGAGAAAGAAAGATCTACACAGTCCATTACCTTTGTGCATATACAAGATTCTGACCAATTTTATATTGCTTGCAAACTTTACATCTTGTCCTGCTTAATTTGGGCACTTAGGTCTTTGACTGTGTTTTTAAAGTGTATATTTAAAATATTGCAATTGCCCAGTGTCTTTTCAGAGTCAGGCAGCCTTGAAAAATCCAATAAATAAATAAATAAAATCTTCAGTCAAACTAAAATGCTGTAACCTTTCCTTTCTGAGGTGGTTTTTCTTTTCCTTTATCAATCTGAGAAGCAAAGATAGATGGCTATCTTTTTTCTTTTCTTTTTTAAAATAAAAGAAAAGCCTTTAAAGTTCTCTTTTTGAGATAGATAATTAATATTGTGCTCTATGTGTATTAGGACAATGCAACAGAGCCAATTTTATTTTTGATTAATTTTATCAGAATTCCAAATGTAATTTCCCTCTTTTTCACAGCTGTTGTGTACTAAATTGGCATTTTTGTTGGGTTGTCAATTAGGACCACCAGATTTCTTCCTTGATTAAAGGAAGCTTCCTTGATTAAAGCATCTGAGGAGAACAGGCATTTGCCATGTATGTTGATATGAACAAAGCACACATCTTTGAACCATTAAAGCAGCTATGTTATTGGGAACCTTCAGTGTAGTTGCTTTCACTCCCTGTTCCTCAGAATGATGAACACCTGTCTCAAGACATTCATATTTAGTTGCAAGCCATAGTGATGATCTTTGATGTGATCTTTGTTGTGATCTTTGGAGGAAAGCTCGTGAATAAACAAACGTACTAGTGAAATGTTGAGGGATATAATGGTCTACTCATGCTTGTTTAATAAACTACTTCAACTTTATTCTTGCTATCTTTCAGAATGAGGTCAGCCATGAGGAATACTGTTCAGCATGCAAGCATGGTGCCAACTTACAACCTTGTGGAACATGCTCCAGGGCCTATCACCTCAGCTGCTTGGATCCTCCCTTGAAGACTGTTCCTAAAGGAGTATGGGTCTGTCCCAAGTGCCAAGAAAAGGTGAGCTACTTGGCCCTGCAGGTACTAAACAAAAAATCTCTGAGAGCTGAACTCTATTTAATTTTGGTCNAATTTTTGATGGATATTCGGTCGCACGCTCTCTGGCAAGTCATTGTGGAATTATCTTTGTTTGCTGTGTCTTATCAGTAAAGGCTTGGCAGGCAGCTACGCAGTTGCTGCCAAGGAATTCATTTGCCTTTGTGCCGAGCAGTTTTTCAGGCCTCGGCTGCCTGGTTGGGGGGTGTGGGTCGGACGGGGGACAGAACAATCATTTCCAGATTTATTTTTTTTCATTTTAGCAGGATCAGGGTGAGAGTGCTGCATGAAGCAAATTTTAGATATCTTTAGTGGTTGTGGTAACAACAAAGTATTTCTTTGTCAACAACCATGCTAAATGTCTTTAGGCAGTTTGGGCATTGCAGATATGGTGATTGGCAACCAGCTTGAGTGGTTTAGAGGTGATATTTGCTAGATGCATAAAATGGAGGATATTTTCCTATTCTCCATAATAAAGGAGAAAAAAGGGAGTTTTTACATTTTTCTATATGATCTCCCATGAATTCTTATTTTGCAAACCACTGAACCAGTATTGTGTAACTGTTTGGGTATTTCTGATGTGATCAACTTTTGATTAAGAAAACTGGGGGGAGGAGATGATGAGGTGCTCACAAATATTGTGTCCTAGCTGTGCCCTTGAATTGCTGAAAGCTGTTATTATCTGAAAACTGTAGGTGTTAAAGAAAGATGACAATGTCCCCTGGTCTGGAACTCTGGCTGTGGTGCAATCATACGTTACTCATAAAACAGGTATGTGCTCAAGTGATTGATTATTAGATAGAGTTTCTTAAATGTCAGCAGCTTGAAAATTGAAGTCACCCCAGGGGTGGATTGCAAGCTTCTCCAAAGGCATGTGCCCGTCTAAATGTAACAGGAATTGTCAGACTAGAACTTTTTATCAACAGCTGTTCTTAACACAATTTACACTGGAGAGAAAACTTTTTTGAGAGAGACAGACAGACAGTGGATGAATTCAGATGTCTTCCTAACTTATTTATTTGAAAACATTTTTGCTTATTTTTATCTTAATTCTCATGTGTTTTTGCACTTCTAGACTTTTTTCGATTTTGTCCTTTAGAATCCTAAAAGCTGACAGCCTGTAAATGTATAGATCAATCAGTCAGTGGCCTGAAATTGAGAACTCTCTTGCCCAACTATGTTCACAAGAATAGAAATTATATACAGTACATCTAGTCCTCGCTTCACAACTGCTCCATTTATTGACCATTCAAAATTATGATGATGATTTATGATCGGCCTTTGAGCGTGGGACTGTTGCAGCATCCCTGCGGTCACAGGATTGTGATTTAGGCTCTTGGCAACTGGCACGCATTTGTGATGGTTGCCGCATCCCACAGTCATGTGATCACCATTTGCAAGCTTCACAGTTGGCTTCTGATTAAAAAAAAAGTCTGGGGAAACCCACAATAAAATTACAAGTCACAGTCACCTGATGCTGCTCTTTAATGCCCCTGGGTGATTTGTAATTAAGAATCTCAGCAGAACTAAAGTTGTGATTTTGGGCTTGGTACTATGATGTTTCACTTAATGACCATGCTGCTTACCGACAGAGTCACCAGTCCCAATTGCAACTGGTAAATGAGGACTACCTTGTATTTTTTTTTGTTGATCTCAATGCAGCCATGAATTGTATGAGAAAAATGGTGGGTTAATTGAAGGATCTAAGACTGTTGATTATATAGACTCTTATATATCTAGAGTATATTGTTTGGATGATGTCCACAATGCAAAGGGGTCACTGGATTGACATTTGCTTGTTCCCATCATATTGTTGGGCTTCCAGTCATATTGAAAAGTTGAGCAGATTGACACCATATAGTAATTAGTTGAGCTTCCTTACCTGTGATAGAACCATTTCTCATTGGGGAGAACTCTAGCCTCATCCCTCCTCCAGAACAACACCCATCCTTCTCCAGGACAATTTTGGAGGATGGGGCTACGCCTATCTTGGCTGGCTAGCCCAGGGGTAGGCAACATTGGCTCTTTTATGACTCGTGGACTTCAACTCCCAGAATTCCTGAGCCAGCATGGCTCAGCTTGGAAACCTCTCCCTTTCCCCTCAGCGTGGCTGGCTCAGGAATTCTGGGAGTTGAAGTCCACAAGTCATAAAAGAGTCCAGGTTGCCTACCCCTGGGCTAGCCCATTGGAGATAGTCTTTGGCTAATACACAAAAACTATGTCACAAAAACTATGTCAGGTAGGAAAAGCTGGCAAGCCATGTGAAATGGGCTTGACTTGAGTCAAGAAAGATCACGTTGAAGTGGGAAAGGCCATTACCTCTTCTGCATCACCCATAAGTGCTGCCCCCAGGACCAGATGCATTTGATTAACTGCTGTGTTTGGTAGAAAGTGTCATTATCTTCATTCCTTCTGCTTTTTGTTGGTGTCTTTTTCAGTCAAAGAAGAAGAGAAGAGGAGGCTATTAAAGAGGAGCAGTGAATTAAGAGGAGAACACAGACAGCTGGAGGAAAAAGAATGCTTTCTTAATAATGCAATGAAGGTATAATTCCTAGCTTGTTTCTTATCTCAAGGCCCACGGGATACAAAGAGAGAAATGTGAAGATTTCTCTAAATGTCAGGCAAGCTAGATAGAAGATGGTAGCCAAAGACATTGCTCCTTCAATAGCAATTTCAAGAAAACAAGACTTTGCAAGACACTATGGTTAATTGTCCTTTAAGCTCCATTGTGTCATTAGGCATTTCATTTCCACCATTGACTTCTTATAATTTTAGTTTTTATTCAGTTGTAACATAAAATAAGAAAATACAAAAGCAAATAATAGGGAACAAAGGTAGGGGAAAGTGAATAATAATAATAATAATAATAATAATAATAATAATAATAATAATAATAATAATAATAATAATAATAATAATAATAATAATAATTAATAATAATAATAATAAAGTTGGAAGGGACCTTGGAGGTCATCTAGTCCAACCCCCTGCTCAGGCAGGAAACCCTATACCAACCTGTGGGTCGGGACCCCATTTGGGGTCGATCGACCATTTCATGGGGGTCACCAAGCAAGGCTGTCCGCCATTTTTTTTGTCCGCCATTTTTTCCCCTTTTCCGGCGGGTGCCTTACCTCCCTTGGGCTGGGCCAGCTGGTGGTCAGCCTGCTCCGTCTCTGCCGCTTGCCAGCTATGCCTCGGTCGGTGCAGGAGGCGGAACCACGCATGCGCGGCGCTCCCGGGCAAGGAAAGTCCTCGACTTACGACCGGTTGGGTAGTCCTCGACTTACGACTGGTTTAGTCCTCGACTTACGACCGGTTTAGTCCTCGACGTACGACCGGTTGGGGTCGCGGCATTAAAAAGGTTGAGAACCACTGCCCTATACCATTTCGGACAAATGGCTGTCCAGTTTCTTCTTAAAAACTTCCAGTGTTGAAAAAAATGGGGGAGGGGGAGGGAAAAAAAGGCATTGACTTCCAATTCCCTCTGTTGCACTAAAATAAGGCATTAACATCGAACCTCAACTTTTTCCATTTCTATAGTAGTACAAACTAGCCATTTCTATATCAACAAATTAGTCTAATCAGTAAAACTCAAAATCAAAGTATCATTTTTTTTCCACCTCTAGCACAAAGTCCAGAAGCGGTATCCAAGGAGAAACAAACGTACTTATGTTCTTTTCTTTTATCAAAACAGTCAATTTAGCCATCTCTGCTAATTCCATCAGCTTTTGTAGCCATTCGTCCATGGTGGGAATCAAAACATCCTTCCGTTTTTATGTGTAGGGCAGTCTTGCTGCCTTCAACATACATAAAATCAGAGTTCCACATTTTTTTCCAGGTCTTTTTCCATTAGATCCAGAAGGAAAGTTTCTGGTTTAATCTTTATATTCACTTTGAGAATTTTCTGCATTAAACTATGAATCCTACTCCAATATTTCTTTGCTTTATCACACGTCCACCATAAATGAAAAAAAAAATCCCTTTTTTACATTTCCAACATTCATTTGAGATACCTTTATGCATTCTAGATAACTTATCTGGTGTTAAATACCAGCGATGCATCATCTTATAAACGTTTTCTTTTAAGTTATAGTTTAGTGTGAATTTTAAGCCTTTCGTCCACATGTTCTCCCATTGTTCAAGCATTGACTTCTTTACAGCCTCTCATCATCCTTCAGAGCATGATAACTTGTCTGAATCTAGGAAGATGCCAATCCAGTAGAATTAGAGCAAATGTTGCAATACATCAGCATTGCTAGCAGGTTAAAAAAAAATAAGACTTTTGCCAGTCATGCTGGTTACTCCACCAACAAGCCATTGGAGATTACTTGGCTGTAAAATACTTCTTTCAAACACATAACACACTTCCGTTTTCTAACATTAAAGCCCTGATTTCTTGTTGTTCTGTCTACTAAGCAGAGCAAACACAAATTACAGGTATTCCTCAACTTACAACTGTTTATTTAGTGACAGTTCAGAGTTAAAATGGCACTGAAAAAAGTGTCTTATGGCTGGTTCTCACACACAATAATTATCCCAACATCACCACAGTCCCTTGATCAAAATTTGGGCACTTGGCCACAGGTGTGTTTTTGGATAGTTACAGGATCCTAGGGTCATGGGATTACCATTTGTGACCTTCCCAGCTAGCTTCTGACAGGGAAAGTCAATGAGAGAAGCCAGATTATCTTAATGTCTATGTAATTCACTTAACAACTGCAGTGATTCGGTTAACAACTATGCCAAAAAAGGCCATAAAATTGGGTGTGAATCGTTTAAGAAACCACCTTGCTTAAGAATGGAAATTCTGGTTCCAACTGTGGTCATAAGTCAAAGATTATCTGTAATTTTTTCAGTATTAAAGTTGGATAGGTTCCATTACTACTTAATGTTTTGCCCTCCAAGGACTTTCACTGCAATGGAATCCATTCTGCATGTTTTCCCTACAGAACTTAGCAGGGCTTTAGTTAAACCAGCGAGAGAATGGCCTTAAACCCATGTTCCTTTGATGGGAACTTAGAAGCTTTTCTTCAACTGTCTGCATTGCTCATCGGTGTGTCCAGAGACTGTTGGAGCTGAATCTCCCAGAAGTTACAAGTCATTGTACCAATTCCAAATGTAATTCTTTCAGATGGCATCTGCATGGCTCTCCTGGTTAAATGGTCCCCATGTAGAACATTTAACATACAGGAAAAGTGAGAGGTATATGAGCTGCAACGCAGGTCGGATTTCCAGGCCAAGATTTTGCCAGTTGAGCTGGAAAAGGCCCAGTGGCGATCTCTGGATTGCAATTAAAGAGATTTAATTACCAAGAACCTTGTTAGAGCACAACAAACCAGCTTTTAAATACATTGCAGCTGTCAAGTATCTGAGTAACGAAACACTTAAAAGGACTTTCAGGCATGTTTTCTCCAAAAAGCATTTATTAAGGTTACAATACGTCAGTACAGCATGGTGGAAATGCTTAGGTCTGCTTCTCTTCCGTTACGCATAACATTCCAAGCATTTTCCACTCCCTTATTGTAGGGTCATGGTTCACATCTTCCAATCAACTTGGAAGATGTGATTTACTTCCGGTTTCTTTCTCCCGGGCTATCCTTATGCTCCTCCCTC